TAAAGACCCTCAATCCATCGATTTCTCTCCTCCTGCCCGTCTAAAACACTCGTGCTGCTTTTCTGAGTGTTGATGGGGGATACTAGTGTGATCCATTGTCGATCTCAGAAGACCCGAGCCACTGGGCTTTGCCAGGGATTGCCAGATCATGTGGCAAACCCTTCCCATCTCTTCACGGCTGGATCAGAAAATCTCTCAGACGGATGTTGTCGTGGACCAGCAGTAGCCACAGGTGCTGCCATCAGGAACTCACTCTGATCCTAGGAACACAGCGGGGAGAGTCCAGGCTGAGGCAGCAGGCCTGGAACTCTCTTGGCTAAGGTGCTGCTCCTGCTCGGTCTCCAGAACCTCCTTGGAAGCGAAGGAACCAGCCCAATAGAAAGTGCAGAGCCAGCCTGCCAATCCCTGTAAAGTTCACTCCCCAGTCCTTGGTGCAACTGTGCTTTGTCTTCTCTTGGTCTTTGTATTTGTCCTCTCCAATTTAAGTAACCATTTTGCCTTGGAATCATGATTACAGATATTTCCTTTGCAGATGCCTTCCTGGGGGATGCTCCTCTCTACCCTAAAGGGTAGCCTACAGCCTGGGCTGACCAGGCCTCTGCTGTGGCATTCTCAAGAGAGACCCTCGGAATTTTAGCACAAAGTGCCTTTTCTTTCACAGATGCCACCACCTTCAGAGGAATTTTGCTGCATCAGAAAAATGTGGAGGCTCCATATTAATGCATTATTTTAAAATTGTTGATAACTCTGAAAGCATCATTTGCACCTGTGTGGTGATTTTGCCTGTTGCAAAGCGTCATGGCCAAGCTGTAGCTGGGAGGCCGCTTTCTGCCAGTCTTGAGGATAAGATCAACTTGAAAGTATGTCCTGGCTGAGCCATTCAGAAATGAAAAATGGGATATCAGAGTTATAGTAGTAAATGAAACTGCTTTGGGTGTTAATGTCTTAGAGGAAGAAAAAAGAGAATATTAGGGAAGTATTAACTTTGGATGAAGGTAATGTTTGCCCCTTAATCTTTCATTCATGGTCTGCTAGTGAAAAGGAAGTAAATGAGATTCTTTTGTGTCACTTTGTAGTTCCGTTGTATTACCAAATAGTTGAGGTTTTGACCCCCAGGTGTTTTTGCAAGTATGTGTGGTAAGCACGGTAGAGAAAAGTTCACAGGAGTGGTGATAGTCTGTGCGTGGGGAGTGGCAGGGGATGATTTGTTTTAGGGGAAAATGCCCACATTTTAGACTTCTGAATAAACAGTGTGAAAACAGTGTGACTATGATGTGTTTTAAAGCAAATGCGGGGGCGCCTGGGTGGCTCAGTCGATTAAGCGTCTGCCTTCAGCTCAGGTCATGATCTCAGGGTCCTGGGATCGAGCCCCACACTGGGCTCTCTGCTCAGCAGGGAGCCTGCTTTTCCCTCTCCCTCTCCCTCTGCCCTCCCGCCCCCCCATCCTGCTTGCGCTCTCTCTCAAATAGATAAAATCTTAAAGGAAAAAAAAAAAATAAAGCAAATGTGGCTTGTAACTGAAAGGGACCAGATTGCTGGTGGCTTCTTTGAACCCGTTTGTGTATCTTTGGAACACTTCATCACCATGTTTAGGCAACATGCTTTTCTGTCTCAGGGAGGCTGGGGCCTGGTTTTTTCCCTGAGAAGGAGTCTTCTGAGTTGGTTTGTACGAAAAGACCCATCTTCTGTTGGCTGCATGTGTTCTTCCCACCCGGCTCAGGCTTGCGGGACAGTGGGCTCTCCCAGGCTAAGGGGGCACCTGCTGACAAGTGCTGTCAGTTGGTGGACATTCGTACAGCTGTTTACCCAACCTGGGGTTGACCAGGAACCTCACAGGCTCTCAGGACGGGACTTCTGCCGAGCCCTCTGGGTCCACCAGAGCAGGAGTCCTGTGGGGTCCCCTCATTAGCCCCTTCTCTGGGTTAGGAAGAGGAGCCTCAGAAAGAGGCAAAAAGAGCGAAGGCTGTCCAGGGTCTGAAGTGCGGGCAGGAGGAAGTTGAACGCAGCCAGAATGTATGTTGTCTTTGCAAAACTTAAGGATTTCAAGAAATATGTTGGAAACCATTGGTTTGGTATTGGTCCTCCTTGCAGATAGTTCTGCTTCCTATTCTCTTAAGGGGGGCTTAGGAAATAGGACTCGAACCATATTGCCCACAGAAGTGAAGCTGCATACTGATGTCCACCCAGTCTCCTCTTCATTCAGGGGTGCATCAGGATTTTCTTCAGTACCTGTTTTTTTTTTTTTTTAGGTTTTTCAAAGTAGGTTCCACACCCAACATTGGGCTTGAACTCACGACCCTGACTGAGATCAAGCGTCACACTCTCTACCAACTGAGCCAGCCAGCTGCCCCCCAGTACCTGTTTCTTTTTAGAATTACTTTCCAAAAGTAAGCTACGGATGAGTTCCTTTGGGATTAATGTTCAGGCTCTGAATAGCAGGTCGCAGGTTCCAAGCTCATCTGTATGGCATAATAGGAGTTCTCTGCCATCAACTGCTAATGCTGTCCTCTCTGAATAGCTTATATGGAAGGCGTATTCGGGTTTCACTCTCTCCCGTTTGTCTCTCCTGGGCCTCTGCGTGTAGCCTCAAATGGTATTTTTTCTTGAACTCAAAGGATTCAATGGATGGTAGTTTCCTTTGCAAGGTAGTTTACATTTCCCTGGAATGACCTGTGAAAGCCAACACTGACCTAAAAACAACCGCCATGATGCATTTTCAGGCATACTTTCAGCCCAAATCATACTGAAGCATCCATCACACACAGAGCACAGTGCTGGGCACTCTGGGAGGCACTGGGGAGCCTATCATGGGCCTGAACTGCAGAGCAGTTGGAGAATTCCCACCAAGTGGCTTAACAGCACGCAGTACCACGGTGTAGCAGTACTGTGAAGCTGACCTAGAGTTGTTAGGGAAGCTGAGGGAAGCTTCCAGAAGTTTTTTAGTTGCAGTGACTTGTAGAGGTGATACAGCCCAGGATTTTGGAGGCCAGTAGGTTTGGTCTTGTGCTACGGCAGAGGCGTGAAGTTATTACTTTGGAAGGAACACTCTGGGGTCTTTGTTACTTCCTCATTTCCCTCTTCCACTTCACCTCATCTAATTTCTGTCCTTAATGTGAAAACATGTTTTCATTATCCCAGGTATAAAGCATACTATTCATTTTCATAGTCATTCCTCTGGTCATGCATGTCCTGACTGCCGTAGCCATTGGCTTCCCTTCAGCCCTCATTGTGGGTTTTTGTTTTTTTTAGATTTTATTTATTTGAGAGAGGAGAGCAGGGGGAAGAGGGGCAGAGGCAGAGGCAGAAGCAGGCTTCCCGCTGAGCAGGGAGCCCCAGTGTGGGGTTCGATCCTGTGACCCTGGGATCAGGACCTGAGCCAAAGGCATCTTGCTTAGCCGACTGAGTCACCCAGGCACCCCTTCAGCCCTCATCTTACTTGATCAACCTGTTGCACACAGCATACTGTTAACTTCAAAAAAACCTGCAAAAAACTGTTCTTACCCGACTTCTTTCCCTCGCCACCACTTAAATGCTAGTAATCATCCAAGCAATGCCTTTGCCCTCTTTTTACTCATGTGATCTCAGTGATCTCCCCAACACCGTGGCTTCAGCTCCCATTTTTTGTGGTGAGGTCATCAAGGTGACCAGCTTTGCAGCTCCATCCCCAGAACTCTAGATCCCATATAGCCAAGAGCCCTTAGACATCACCATCTGGAAGGCCTTGTTCAGGTTCAAACTAACACTACTCCAAATGGAGCTCCTCTTGCATCCCATTGCCTTTTTGACTCCGTCTACTCAGCTGTCCAGCTGGAAACGTCTTATACAGCTCCTGTCGTAAACAGGCACAACTCTGGGGCATGACCACCCGTTCCACCAGTGCTTTCGTTTCTTGCTACATCTACTGCAGTGACCCCTTAGCTGAACTCTTTGTCCCTGGTCCTTCCCCTTTCAAGTCCACTGCCCTCCATGCTGCCAAAGAAATTCAACTTTCAGGTTTGATCATGTCATTCTCCTGCATAAAACCCTTTCAGGCTCCCAGTCGTTTATATAAATGAGAGCAAACACCTTTGAGGTAGAAGGGTCGTTCCTCACTCTGGCTTCATCTCTGCATCATCCCATCACCCCATCTTCCCTGATCATTTCACCTGTGCATCTTTGCTCATAGTTAATTGGTCTGAAATACCTCCTCCCTGCATGTTCGTGGATCCAAGACAACTAGTATTCATTCTTCATGACTTGCTTCCTGTATCACTTCTAGAATTCGCTTGTGAACTCTCCTCATGGTAAAAACTGGCTGCTCTATCATTTTGGGTTTCCTGAGTGACCTGGACTATTCATAGATCTGTTTTCCCCGCAAGTATAAAAACCCCTAGGAGAGGAACTATGTTCTGGTCATTGTGTCCCTGTGGTCGTGCAGTGCTTGGCACAGAATATACCGAGCGGGTCTTGTCTTCAGAGCATGTCCTTAACCTTTGCTGGTAAAGGCGGGCCTGCCGGGGAGATGCTGGCTTTAGTGCCCCATGAAGTTGGATCACCAATAAGCTCCCAGGCTAAGTGAGCTGAGGAACTCCAGAGGCACCTGACTAGAGTTGGGCCAAATCAGATCAGAGGAGGAGCCAGAAGCTTTACAGCAATGTTTCCAAGGGAACTGCCTTTCATTCCTGCCATGGCTCCTCGCTTGTTTAAAACCAGAACATAAAAGTCTATGAGTCCTCTTACATTCCAGATTTATACTTGGCTTTATGGGGGTCCTATGTGGTTGGATTTGAGGATTCAGGAGGTCTTGAATGTAAATTAGCCAGGAACTCAAGAAAGCAGACTATTAGGGTTCTGGAACTGTGAGTTATAGACAGAATGGGAAAGGCATGCCCTGGCTCAAAGTGACCCTGTGGCCCCACAGGAAAAGAGGTTCTGTTCTGGGCAGTCAAGATGCTGCTGCTTTGGGTCTCTTTGAACATCTTGACTTTTAGCTTTATTTTCTGCTAAAAAAACAACATGGACACAAATGATAATATTTTATTATAGAAAAAGCATCCCACATAAAGGATTTCGTAAACACTGTAGGTGAACAAGTGCAATTTAAAAAAGTAAATACAAAGTAAAGAGGCAAAATCTACAAGCATTTTGCCTAAATTTAAGAGAATATGTAATGTTCTCCTGCAGAAGTGATCCCACCCAGAGCACGAATGTGGCTCCGTGTCCCCCAGTGAAGGCAGCAGGTATGCTTTCTGAACTCGTATGCCCGTTTTAACAATTTCAAAACAATGGCAAGAAGTGGCATTGAATAAATTACTAAAACCCTTTGATTCTTAACTTTCTATTGAAACTTGATTTAAAAGACTCCATATCACACTTTGACAATTTGACTTAAAGCCTGTGCCAATTGTTTTCTGAAAATATATCCTTCCTTCCTGGGCTTATTCCACAGTATTTTCATAGACCTGTATACATTAGATGACATACTGGTTTCTTGGAATTTAGCGTAAAATAATATTTGCTATTATGTATTACACAGTAAATGTACTTTCTAGCTTCCTTACCATTTTTGCTGTCATCTTTTCAATATTCTTCCTCCACTTTGGAGAAACCATGATCATCTCACCAGACACACGTTAACACTCTGCCCACTCTCCAGCTCAATGCCAAATGTTTCCCAATCAATGATACACGATAATGATGCATTCTAAATCTCAAATTCAGGTTCCTCTTGGCTTGCTGAGCTACCTCTGAGTAAGACAGTCTGAGCAAAACCATCTTATGAAGATGGTTCAGTATACACAGCCTGGCTTACTTATTTAGGCACTTAGAAGAAAAACAAAAGACCCAGCAAACCTGAGTTCCACCTTTATTAGAAATAGCTCTTGCCCAGCTGGCCAGTAATGGACCCTGAAGGGAATAACTGCACCCCAGCCCTTGTCCCTGTGGGGACTGAGCGGTCCTGCCATCATGGACTGTGTTGGCCCCAGGAACAGAGCAGCTATGGCTAAGGGGAGCTACTAAATCAGTGATGCTGGGCTCCAAGCCGGGAGGGTGGTGGGTGCAGAAGAGACCTCCCTCTTCACCAGAAGGGACCCGTGGGCCCCACTTTTCCCTTCATCACCACCATCTAGTGACACTGGCAGGTTTACCTGTATAGATTTCCAGTTCACCCCATGGGTTGGGGCCAAAAGCACATTAACCCAGTTTGGGTGGTGGAGGGAGAGAGGGAGATCTATTTCTTGAAAGCCTGAGGAAATTAATCACTTACATAGAACAGAGTGCAAAGTACACGCCATACTTTCATAACTGGCTTTTTACCTAAGCAAGGACTAACTGGTTTTAGAGTGTTAGCTGCCGCATGTTCACACTTGAATGTTAATAGAGAAGCTGGAGAACAGAAGTTACACTTGCTAGACTAACACAGTTCATTCAAATGTCCTTTGTGGTGGCATGGAAGGAAGTCAACTGAGAAGCAGAAAGGAAGCACCATTAAATGATTATCTGGGCTAGACACCTATCAGTGGGGAAGAATGAAATACTGGCATGGTCAAAGACAAACCTGACCTCAAATAGGAGTCAAGGAGTTTCACAGACATAAAATTACCCTCTGGCTACAAAAAACCCTCACCCTAAACTTTAACCCTTACCATCAGCCTTACAAGCTAGATGCTAGTGGTAGTCAGAACTCTGGGCGGGAGATGGCTCAGTTTAACCCCTACTACTACTATTTTCTGAATAACAAATGGAGCATCGATCTCCACTGTGATTGTGGTCACATGCACAGAAAACACACTTCTTACAAACATTCTTGTTCTTCAAGCCTGGAAAGAGCAGCTTTTGACACCCATCTGACTTTACCTTTGGAGGACTACAACTAGGGCAGTCAAAATGGAATCACCCAACTTGCCCTATGGTATCTTAAGGAAATGGAATTTAAGAAAACTAGTCACGTTATCTTAAAGAACTTAAAGGAATCTATGTACCTTTTTGAAATCTGTGATGAGTAAAGGCTCTGGGTAGGTGATTAGAAGGCCAACCTTTACCATAAAATAGATTATCCCTAGACACTTAACATCTGACTCTAGACTCTAAATTTAGCTCTGCTGTTAATAGCCATGAGGACACAAGGGAAAATGGTTCAGTACTGGGAGGAATGGTCTGGGTTGTCACACACCATGCATTATTAACGGAGCCAACAGATCAAACAAAATTACTAGGCCTAATACCCCTTCAATTCATCTGTCCTTTGGGGATGACAGTAGTATGGTTTTCTAACCCAGTGTGAGCAGTGTGATAGGCTACTTCAAGGACAAATATCCTGATCCAAAAAAAATCCCACAGTATGTAAAGAATATACAAAGAAATACAAAGAAAAATCCTGCACTGGGACAAGGGCTGGGCAAGTGATGTTTCCCTACCCAGCTTCACCCCAAATGCCCTCTTCCCTGGAGCTTTTACAGGTCTATGGAGAAACAGAGCGCTTGTGAGAAATTTCTGCCCATCTCTTGCAAGCCTTTCAGTCACATCATCTAAGGAAAGTTTCCCAGCCACACTCACAGCAATGTGCTGCTTAGGGAGAAGACCTGTGGCTTCACACCACATTCCAAGCCATGATAATCAAAGTGGCCTAATCTGAACAGGTTCTTCTACTTGAGTTGTGAATTTCATTACAAATGATCATTCCAAATAATTTCTTTAGACTCAAAAACCTTGAACGTAAAAAGGTTTCATAAACATTGTTACACTATTACTAGACTTCTGTCAAAGAAGCTGTGTGGTTTTGAACTATTCATTGCATTAATGAAAAAGAAAACTTAATTTAAACTCTTAAGAAATCTCCTTTTGAATGTTTTAGATGAGAGCCTAGTTCTTCCCAGATGCAGGTCTGGGCACAGAGGCCACCAGGAATGGCATCTTCACGGACCCCTAATGAGAATACTATTACCGCCTGCTTATGGAAGCTAGAGATTGTCTCTTTTTAAGGTTTGGTCCCTTTGCTGCTAAGTAACTTGCCTGGTATAAGACAAACAAGCCAAGAACAAGGTATAAAGGATAAGAGGACAGCTTTGATGAATATGAGGCAATAGGAGCCTTGACTTCCTTTCCTGCTTTTTGCAGTTGTGCAAAGACTCCGTAAATGGCACCAGACCCAAATTTTTCAAGTTACCAGGGCTGCTGCAAAGCCGGTAGCTTATTTACCAGTGCTTTTTTATCCCTTGCTGGAGGCACAGACTTTTCAGTAATGACAAGGACACACGCTAATTGTGGGAGAAAGGGAAAGGATGGAGAAGCAGGTCTCCTGACACTCAGGGGGAGACAAACCATGGGAAGGACTGGCTGTGGGCATCCCAGACAGAGAAGGGCTCCGAAGAGGCACAGTCCACAGCTGGCCCTAATCCTGAAAGTCGCTAGATGCCATCTGAGAAAGTGGGGCATTTAGCCGGTCAAGTTCATCCACTTGAGGTGGGTGGTGCATTAATATCTCCTGGTCCTCTAAGACATCTTCTCCAGCAGCTACCAGATTAGTGAGGGATTTGCTTCGGACACACTGGAAATCCACATGGCGACTCTTCCCTTCTTCCTTTTCCCAGGACATCTGGATAAAGGGGCGCTGCACATAGTTATAGATTACTTCAGAGCGGCCACCGGGCCTTCTCTTAATTTTTTCTTTGCAGGTAGGATAACCTGAAACAGAAGAAGGCCATTCTTATGACTCCGGGAAGTTACCCACTCTAGATTCCACGCTTTCTCTTCTCTGACCACATTAATTTCCTCCCAAATTCAAAGGCTGGGGAAATGACTTCTGACCATGCCCTGCCACTCCCAACAACATCCTACATGCTCACTTCCCACCCATCCAGGTTAGTAGGTCTTGTTCCTGGAAGGGAAGTAACAAAAATTCTATCTCCTCTAATGGCAGGGCAAGAACAGCCTCTTAGTAATTTCAGAAGCCTGTACTTACAGGCACCAGTGCCAAAGAAGAGAAATCCTACTAGGCCATGGTGAAGTCCAGTCTCTAACCCTAGTGCTTAGAGAGCACACTGTAGGAGAAGGTTAAGAAAGCATGTAATGTGTACCTTAAAGAAAAAACAGGGAATTTGCCTGAAATATCTGAAAGGCTACCACATGGAAATGGGAGAAATTTTAGAGTAGTTTCAGAGGCTAGAACTAGAAGGAAGACTGAAGAGATTGGAAGTTATCTACTAGATACATGGAAGAATGTTCTAATGGTACGACAGTCTGATGGGCTGCTCTGGGAAATGGAATAATCCTTATCACCCCGTTCCCGGGGTTTCCAGTGACAAAGGAGGGACACAATGGAAAGAGGTTTAATAGACCTCAGAAATCTCTTCCCACCTGCAATTCCAACCTAAGTCACACACAGTAAAGACCTGATGGGTTCTGTAGTAAGACTGAGACAGCAAGAATAGCAAAACAAAAGAGTCAAACACTCATGAGGGGAGACCAGGACGGCTTCAGCATTCTTGAAGAATCAGTGTCTCAGACCCTTCCATGGAGAACACAGGTTGGGAGCCACCTGCTCATGACCATTTCAAACCATTCTACCAATACACACAGACATTCCTCAAAGGTGTGTAGTGGAATAAATCCAAATTTTGAGTCTCCAAAGCTACAGTTTTCAGAAGGACCCTTCCCGATCCCAAAAATCCTCACCAAGACTGCTGGTAGAATGGCTCACTCACTTGGTAAGCCCACAGGCCCTGCTCCATTTACCCCCCAGTGTCCTTCGCCCTCACTGCTCTTTATCCCGAAGCAGTACACCCGAACTTATTCCTGCAGCTGCTTTAAAGCATTTATGACTAGAAATAAAATGAAAAATATAAGGGTAAACAAACAAACAAAAAAAACAGGAATCCTTCACACAGGTAGGAATGTAGTTTTCATTGTGCCCATTCTCCAGGTCCTCTGAAAGCCGGGTTTTAAGGATATAAGCTGTGCCTACAGATACAGCCTACTCTCTTGAGCCATGCAAGCTGAACACTAACTGGGATATTTATTACCTTCAATTCCAATGCGAATATTTTTCAGGCCTCGCTCCTTTAACACTGTTTTAGCAACATCACGATTCTCAATGTATTTGAAGAATCTATAGAGCTTGGAGCTATAAAGAACTGGAAAAAGAAAAACTGAGTTAGTCATGGAGTAAAGACTTCTAAAAGAGGAGGGAGATGAGCTAACAGAATCAGCCTAATGAAAGGTATACCTGACTCTGATGGGAAAAAAAATTCAGCTGGATCACAGATGAAATGTTAAGTAATGGATCAAACATAAGAAGGAAACGACATGAGAAATTCTTCTAGTCTCAGGGTGGGGAAGACCTTTCTGGGTACAACATAAAACCAGGGGCCATAATATAAAAATTGATACATTCAACTACCTAAAAATACAACATCTCTGCTTAGCCAAAACCACTGTAATTAAGCTAAAAGAAAACAAAAGTCAATTGGAAAAAAATACCTGCAACTCACATTACAAAGGGCTAATTTTCTTACTATGTATAGAGTGGTCACAAATAGAGAGCCTTCACAAATCAGTTCTGTAATGAGCAAAAGCATAAATAAAGTTATAGAAAAGGAAATTAAAAGGCTTTTAGAAATTAAAAAGATGGTAAGTGTTGATCATGAAATGAGAAATGCAAATTAAAACATAAATGCAATGCTATTTTTTACCTATCAGTGCGACAAAGAAGTTTAGTAAAATACTGTTTTGGTGAGGATGTGGGAAACAAACCTGTCATATATTGTTTTGTAAGTGTAATATGGAGAATTTAGCAACACTTACAAAATTATGAAATAACAAAGCTTTGGCACACAAATTTCATTTCTAGGAAGATTATTCTCTAGAGATACACATGTGTGAAGACTGTTTAAGAGGTATTTACTGCAGCATCATTTGTAATTTATAGTTTCAAAGTTCAACAACAGAGCCAGTTAAATCAGTCACAGCACAGTCACATGGTGGAATACTATACAGCCATTAAAAAGATCGTGGAAGATTTCTATGTTAGACATGGTGTTGAACAGTCTGTAGGACATGGAAGCATTTGGAGAAAAGGAAAAACCGTGGATGTAATTGCTTATGTATGTGCACTGATTACATCTGAAGGATATAAAAAAAACTGAGGAGGAAAACCGGGTGGGTGAGGCAGGGTTGGATCAAGACTTTTCAGTATACATCCATCCTTTTGTACTCTTTGAGTTGTTACCAATTCAAAGGATTTAAAAATGAAACCAGCAAGAGAGAAGAGTGAGGGCCATTTAAGGGCCTCAGTATTACCACCGTCTCCCACGGACACCAGGGGCAGCAGTGGAAGGTGTACATGGAGGCTAAGCACAAACTTTAGCCCTGCAGCAAGCACACTGCTCGTGCAGGTGAGTGTACTCATCGCCAGCTCAACAGTGATATTCCCGGTGCTTCCGGGATCTAGCTGCTACTCTGGGCAGTGCGTTTGTTGTGGAAAACATCTACACCGGGCAGGTTGTGCCTACTTTGGGAATATTCCTCCCCCATGGGAGGGGGGTGGTCTTCATCCCAGTCCACAGAATCCTCATCCGTCAGCACAACGATGTGGCACTCTCGCTCCCCTTTCTTGGCACAGCCCACCATGATGGGCAAGATCAGCTCTTCGAGGTAGTGGTCAAACTGCTTGTGAGCACCATCGTTAGACAGTTCATGCAGCAAAGCACCTGGGGAGAGACGCTGTAGGTGAGCATCTGCTCAGCCTGAGTGCAGATATTACTGACGGGAAAAAGACTATGAGGTACTGGCTGTCATCACTGAGAAGTTCTAGAGACGTAGCCCATTAAAGGCAGAAATGGTTTTTTGCTTCGAGGCACTAATTAAGCAGATTTTGTTAGATATGTTGCACATTTTACCACTCTAACTTTTCTCATGTTTATTTATTATTAGCAAGAGGGAGGGAGGAGTGGGGGACAAAGGGAGAGAGAAAGAATCCCAAGCAGGTTCCACGCCCAGCATGGAGCCGATGTGGGGCTCTGTCCCACAACCCCGAGATCATGACCTGAGCAGAAACCAAGTCAGATGCTTAACCGAGCCACCCAGGTGCCCCCCTCACGTTGAATTAATCCCTGAGCACTTTGACCAACTGAAGTTTTGTTAGCTATACAATGTCAAACCACACACATTAATTCTACAAGAGAAAGAACCATCATTTGTAGTACCTCTTCTGAAGATGCTCTGGACCCCAATTTCATGGAGTTATGGTACCACAGAAGAGGGATCATCTGAAGTTTGAGGACACCAGGGGACTTGCTCTAAGTGTGCGCTAGACCCAGTAGAGAGACCACAAGTCTAGAGAACTTCATGGAATATGCAGGGAAATGTATCATGAACCTCAAAGAATATATATATATTTTTTTAGATTTTATTTATTTATTTGACAGAGATCACAAGCAGGCAGAGAAGCAGGCAGAGAGAGAGGAGGAAGCAGGCTCCCCACTGAGCAGAGAGCCCGATGCAGGGCTCGATCCCACGACCCTGGGATCATGACCTGAGCTGAAGGCAGAGGCTTTAACCCACTGAGCCACCCAGGCGCCCCTCAAAGAATAATTTTTTAAATAATTTCAGGAAGCCTAGGTGATAATAAGAGAATGGTGTTTGTAGTCAATCAGCTCTAATCCCAGCTTTTTAGAGTTTTGAACAAGTTAATTTCTCAGTCTTCTCATTTGTTAAATGGGGTTATTACCTGACTTGCAGGGCTCACTGCTATAAGACTTAAGCAAGTTCACATCTAGAAAGCACTTAGTAAACATGAAGTTAATGGTAAAAAGAATTCTAAGAAGAACCCAGCCAATTTATGCTGTTTGACTCTGCTCACTAATGTCCAAGAGTCAGTATCCTTATTTATTAGCTGAGACACCAAGGTCCCTGAGAGGGGAAGCAGTTAGCTCAGTGCCTCACTGGACAAGCTGGATTCAGAACCCGCCACACATTCTCTTTGGTTTATTCCACGTCCTCACAGAGCTATGAAGCAGGAGAGGGAACAGGTTAGTATTACGTCTCTGCCTCTGCGAATGGTTTTCAACCCACACTAGAAACTGTTTAGTGATAAAGAATAGCAGTCGATTCCAAGCGAACTCAAAAGTTCAGCTGCTCAAATGCAGCTCAGAGCTGCTCTTGTACTTACTCAGATCTTGACATCGGATAGTGTTGAAGTCAAAGTTAATGCAGAGATAATCGCATGTATCCCTAAGGTCTGGAATAGAGATGCCATCAGGACAATTGATGATACCAGTTTTGTAATAATCCTGTAAAAAGATTAAAAAGAAGAAATGTAGGCAAAGAACCAAGATGAGGAATGACCTCTTCAACCCCTCATCCATTCCTGGTTCTGTTAAAATGGTAGGTTACTAGAACTGTCACCATGCTGGCTGACTTGTCAGCTGGCAGAGTGGCTCCTGGCTCTCTGATGTGCTTAATCATAACCTGATAGCTGACTGAGCTCAAACAAGAGGTACTTCAGGGAGAGAAAATAGAGGGAACGGGAACTGGAACTAGAGACCCTAAAGTCAGTAACAATTTGATGGAACTCTCAAGGCTTCTGCCTGTGCCTGCCCCTGGGGAAGACGATGCCACAAGAAGGGTCCTACACACCAGCACTGTTCGAAATACAGTCGCACTGATTCCTTCGGCAATCTCATACTCTCCCTTCTCGTTGGGCCGAGTGAAATTGTACTCTCTTCCTGGTCCAAACATTCTGAAAGACATCAGACGACAATGTCAGACAGATGGATTCTTCACCCATGAGGACTGCTCCCTTCTTCACCTCATTCTGGAAGACTCCATTCCATGTTCTCATAGTATAAATTAAAAACACATCAGTGAGACCCAACCCCTATGAAGAAGCTCCCTCCAGACATAAAAGGTGGTAGCAATTGCTTGCAGCATTTGAGAGCAAGGAGAAATGAAGCAGCCAAGTCTTCAGGGATCACCAGTGGTAAGCTTCCGGGACAGCAAATGAGGTAAAGGAGCATTTGCAGAGCTGGCCCTTGGAAAATCTCTGGTGTGTGGGAGGGCTGCCTCTCCTGCCCTCCCCAGTGCCCAGGGATATGCCGGCAGCTCAGGAAGACTGCTTCTCCTGCTCCTGACCCTTCCTGGTCCTTTCCCTCGTTTGTTAACCTACCTTATCTAGCATGCAGTGGTTCTCAGATTTGCTTTTCAATATCTAATATGATTGATGCATCTCTCCTGGTGGGTGCAGACGTTACTGTCCTCCCATTCCTGGTACACTCCGATGCTGGAGCTCTGGAGAAAATACCCTTCTTCAATCCAAGGAGTAACTCTAATGACAGGAACTTCGGGTCAAGCAGATAGGGATGGGAGCTATTAGGCTTATCTAGTGGTTCGGCATAGTTTAGAGAGGCGAACCTGCTCTGTACATGAACTTAGAGGTCAGGAGGGCACAGGAAGATCTTGCCTTTTCTTACTCATCTTTTCCCATTCTTCCTCCCTCCCTTTCAGATCCCCTCCAGTAAAACTGGCCCCTTGACTTCCACCACTCCTGTTGCACATCTGAGCTGTGGAATGGGAAACCAGTGTGAGGGACAGCGCAGGCGGTAGGTAGGCTCTTTGGCCAGCTTGATTTAAGTTCCCGATGGCGTCTCAGTGCCATTTCCTTCCTCAGCCTGCTGGGAAGCCTGGCTGGCTCTTCAGTGTTAAAACTCTTTTCCTCTACCCTAAATTGGCTGCTTTTCAAAGGTCTGAAAAAGACTCCAAATCCATACTTTCCAAACACTAACACCATACGTAAGAAATCCATCCTGATAAAAGGGTCTTCAAAGAATGCTGACATTTCTGAACATTCTGGTTAAAGTCCAACCAAAACAGCTATGAATCAAAATAGTGAACATGCCATGCAATGCCCCCTTCCCCCCACAAATTCTCATCAGCAAGACCTAAGCTCAGAGTTATTTTTCTGGTAATGGTGTGGATGAACATTAATCTACTTGCAGTCTTTCAGCCTGTACCCCTTCTGACTAATGGCTCACATTTTTTTAAGCTCACTGACTAGAGGCTTACCAACACTGTATATAACCTCTGGACAGAGCAAACCTAAGTATATCTCAGAACCAACAGCCTCAGCTGAAGAACCACCTAGATTAAGAATTAGACTCTCTCATCATGGGACAATCCTAGATTCAAAGAAAGAGGGTCAGCTAAGAATCTGTTAATCATGGGCGCCTGGGTGGCTCAGTGGATTAAGCCTCTGCCTTTAGCTCAGGTCATGATCTCAGGGTCCTAGGATTAAGGCCTGCATCAAGATCTCTGCTTCAGCAGGGAGCCGGCTTCCCCCTCTCTCTCTGTCTGCCTCTCTGCCTACTTGTGATCTATACAATAAATAAAAATCTTAAAAAAAAAAAGAATCTATTAATCAAACAGAAAATGCTTGCCTTTCTTCTCATGATCACTACTGTCAGAGGCAATCTACTTTGAAGAGCCAGCCAGTGCTGCAAGAACAGTTTTTGGGTGTGGTGGGTGGGCAGTGGTAATAACCCCAAGACTGAGGACAAGAAGTCAAATCTGATAAAATGTAGGGCCAATCTGGAATATGTTTTAATGTTATAGTTTAGTCTTTTTTTGTTTGCTTGCTTGCTTGTTCTAGTTTAGTCTTAATTCAGAGGTTTGAGAAGTATTCAGATTTGGTCCTGGCTAAAAATGGTTCATCATGAATCTGTATGTATATGTTCAAATACATTTGAGTAGCTGGATTTCATTTAGCCTAAAATTCAACAAATGAGTGTAGTCCATTCTGATTTCTTTCTTTCTTTTTTTTTTTTTTAAGATTTTATTTATTTATTTGACAGACAGAGATCACAAGTAGGCAGAGAGGCACGCAGAGGAGAGAGGGGAAGCAGGCTCCGTGCTGAGCAGAGAGCCCCATGCGGGGCTCGATCCCAGAACCCTGAGACCACGACCCGAGCTGAAGGTAGAGGCTTTAACCCACTGAGCCACCCAGGCACCCCTCCATTCTGATTTCTAAATCAGTTCAAATTAGTCCAAAGTCCTGAGTGAGGTTAAATCTTTACATAAGATCTACTTCCAAGGAGATGAACGTCCTCAAAAGCCAAATGTCTGTGTGTAATATACATACACACATTATTATTTTTACTCTTATCCCAATTTGCTCTGCCTCATGTTAAGGTCTGTAGTTGGCCAGAAGGAGCATGTCCTAACTCCCAGCCCAGGCTCCAAGAACACTTTCTGGCCAGTGCTCCTCCTTGCTAGGCCTTTTCCATTTCCTAAACTCTAACCCTAATATGCTGGAGGCAGGAGATGGGGAGAGAAGGGTAAGACTGTGGTCTCAATGAAGCAGCACTGAGAATGGAACATGACGAAAAGAGAGAGCAGTCACAAAACAATACAACAGCCAGACATAAAGACTCAGTTTTGGAAAACTTGAATAGAGACGGAGGTATCAGAAAATGACAGCATGACACCCGCTGCCAAGCACAGTGGGCGACAGATGGCAGGCAAAAGGCTTTTCCATAAAACGGCTTTGCTATTGTGTCATTTGGAACACATTTCTATTTTTTATTAAAAGACAAAAGAAAAAAAGAACCCACAACTTAGATCTCCCCTTAACCCTGTCTTTGACCTGTGGAACTCAGGCAAGATTACTTTTGTGAGGGTGTACTTATTATGCATCTTATTATGGATAAGATGGATAAGAAATGAGGAGTGTGACTTCTGTTGTAGAGGGAGTTTATAGAGGAAGAGGGAAGGATATTCAGCAGATTATTTTCCATAGTCCTGATTGCACGCCCTTCTGTGGGGGCCCATTGTGCTGTACTGGCTTTGTAAACAGAGTACATCCCCCAAATCATCAACACATAAACAGCTTTGTACAAGCTTGCCCTCCCTGTCTCACAAAGATAGGAAGGTAGAAAAATAAGCAACCGCAGGCCTTCTTTTCCTCACATCTAGTGCAAGATAAACAGCAGGTACTTCTATTCATAGAGAACACAGTGAATTTGGAAGGAAATTATCATCAATTACCTTCCCAACATGGTATCCGGATGAGCAGTGAAAATTTGTGGATTCACAACAAAACGTGTGCCATCTACAAGAAGTGTCACTTTCTCTGGTGCCTGGGAATGAACGTTACTGCCAAAGCCCACAGTGCTGTTTCCAAATCGTTCTGGAGCCATAAAGGATTCATGGTTCCGTTTATTCCCATTTTGGAAGCAGGAGCCTTTGATGTCCTCGGGAAGTGGCATTATGTGAGGGAACTGAAGATTTGCTGGCTGAGAGGCATAGTCAAGTGAAAGGTCTAAAAGATCATACAAACAAACCAAAATAACTTGACAGCAAAAAGCCTTGGGGGAAAAGATAAAGCTCATCTCTTTAAAAAAAAACAACAACAAAAACCCCCGAACTTTTAGGTGTTCGCAGGCAAAAAACTCTTGCCCTTGAACAAGTAAAGGAAGAATAAGCTAGAGATTCATATTGGATCCCCCTGAGCTTTTTTACAGGTTTGTATGTTGGGGAGGAGAGAATGAAGGCAATAATGCCCACATTTCAAAAAGTGATTTAAAAATTTTAAAGTAAATTACGTGCATGGCTTAAAAAAATTTAAACACTAGAGAATTTCTGTGGACAACCAACAAGGTTCTGCCAGACTCCATGCCCTCCCCCGGTCTTGTTTCACAGAGGCAATCACTTTTTACTTCTGTTTCCACTTTTAGCTCTAAATAATACTCTCGTAGTTCCTGTGTTTTATTTAAGGAATCTGCTACTTCTGGGTGCAGAAACTATTCCTTTCCCACATCCTTCTAAAAATTTCCAAATGTTTCTAAATGTTATTTCCCAGAAGGGATGACAGTCTCTAATTGTCTAATGCATTACCTTTCCTAGAAATTCACATAAAAATGCATTTTCACTATGCACTGGAGAATCCTAACATCACCAGGACCATTTTTTGAAGAGGCAGGGCTTGCCCTCAGCAGAAAGGTTCCGGTGCAAGTGGCCTTGGGTTAGGATTCCTTCATGGAAACCGTTTTTGTGCTAGTATCACCAAGGAGGCATTTCCTTTAAGCAGTTTATTTAATTTTCTAAACACTGTTCATGTCTCTAAAATGAGAATCATGTTCACTTCACCTCCCTCAAAGGATTCTTCTATCAACTGAATTAAAGTATGTGAGAGCACTTCAAAGTGTGTTAATACCATAACATGGAAAAAAGGCTTAAAACCAAATATGTGAAATCTGGATATAATGCAGAAGAAAACTGGGGGAAATTTTTATGAAAGCATTATCATAGAATTCTTTTAAACTGGCAGATCTCCTAATATATTTTAATGTAAAAAAGTCTCTTTCACGAAAAATTTCAAACATACCAAAGTTAACACAATATGCATATCCTGTCACCTAGATTTAACAAGCTTAATTAACTTTTCTACATTTTCTTAAAATCTTTTTTTGAAAAAAGTAAAAGGTTAAAGATACAACTGAGTGTCTGACTCCCATCCCACACGAATTTTAAGTCTGTATACAATAATTCATGAACAGGATTACCTGCTCTTCACTTGTGGGAAATAAGCCTGATTTCAGGCCCTTAGATAACCAAATAAATTGTGAGCTAGAGTGCACTCACATTTCTTCCCCATTTGCTTCTGAAGGAAAGGAAACCAAAATCTAGACCAAACACACCGAGGGTTCACATTCTACAGCTTTGGACAAATTTTCAGTGTGGCCCTGTTGTCTGCACAAGAGCCAAGCTTCCACACCACCCACGGACAAGCTTCTAGCAAGAAACGCTTACATCACCAAGACGGGCTTTCACATTCAAAATGCTGTTCTAAAATGAAAGTAGGTACCCACATCATAAATTCAGGATGCTTGATTCCCTACCCCTCTCACCCCCCAACAATGAAGCAGTTCTAGTGGGCTGATTCCTGAAGGGCGCCTCAAGTCCCACGCAGTGTACATGGGTGAGCAGGAAGGGGGACTCAGTGCACAAACTCCCCCCAATGGCACACTCTAGGATGGCAGGCATGCCCTGCTCTTCTGCCAGTGGATGCATTAGAATACCACAGGCTGGTTAGAAAGACACGGGTTCAAATGGCAGCTGCCCACCTCCTAGCAGTGTGGGTCTGAGCACGTTATGTAAGTTCCTGAAATCTCCTTTCCTCATCTGCACAAGGAGGAGGACTCTAGGCAGGGATCAGCACATTTTCTGTGAAGGGCCAGAAAGCTCTGTGGGTCACAGTCTCTGCCACTGTAGCTAGAAAGTAGCCAAAGACCATATGTGAACAAACAGGCGTGATGGCGGCATTTTAAAAAATGTACAAAACAGGCAGTGATTTAGATGTGGCAACAGTCTGCCATCCTTAATCTAAAAACACGTATGTGAAGTTCCTAGCCCAGTGAGCACCCAGTAAACAGTAACCGCTATTGTGAGTGTTGCCGCTGCCTTCATTCAAAGTTAAAAAGAAGTGGACAGTTTATCAAGAGCCTGCACATCCATTAATTCCGAAGTCTCCCAGTCCTGTGAAGTAAGAATGTTAACATCCCTGTTTTCTGGATTAAGAAAGCAGGGCTCGGAAAGATTAAGGAGCTCATCCACTGTTACAGACGATAAATAGCACAGCTAGACTCTGAATCTGTCTTGTGACTCCAGACCCAGGACTATCTTTCTCAGACCGTTACCGCTGAGTTAGACATGCGGGATTGAGTGAGTCAGCGGGGCTGTTATGTGGCAGTCAGCCTTCTGTAACTAAGCCAGTCCGCTGGAAAGGTTATTTATGCCATCCGGGTGGAGTGGACGCTCACGGGTGAGAAAGCCCTCCGAATTCAGTCAAGATCTAACCATCGTACCATCGCTCCTGGGCCCTACAGAGTAAGTGAGACTCTGAAGAGCAGAAGCAGCCAGGCTATTTGTTTCTCTCTCCTGGGCCACAGCTGAGGGGTCATCGCTTAGGCAGCTGGCCTCCTGCCGCAGTGCCCTGTCGCTCTCGCTGCCGCGGTGAACGTTCATCCTTGAGTTCTGGATCCTGAACTGTCTGCTGGGCCAGAGAAAAAGCCTGGAAGACAGGAATGTGCAGGATTTAAAACACCCTCCAACAGACTTCCAAGGACTTCTGAAGCATGAAAGCCGAGCTGGAGAACTCACAGACGGCTCACATTCTTGTTTGAAGAAGAAATGACATCTTAAACTTATTTTTGTGATTTTATACTGGGAGGAACTGGGCTTATTTAATGATCTCTACCAAATCACTAACAATTTAAGAATGTCGGTCAACTTGTTATTTGAGAATAATTTTAAGCTGTATCCAAAACCAGACATCACACCTACCATTTTGGCCCCAATCATGATCAGTTCTACAAGTTAAATGGTAGTGCAGTAATTTGGTGTTGTTTAGATCACAGACACAAAAGAGGGGAAGAATCCAACAGGTCAACTAAAGAAAACCTGCCCATATGTGAAAAATAATCAAGACACATGTGTTCCTGCAACAACTAAGCACTAGGGAATGAAAACTATCAAATCTTGCATTAGCATTATGGTTGTTGAAACAAGAAATCACCTGCACTAAAGAAAAAACAAACAAACAAAATTTGACTTAGAGTGCCCAGGTTCCTCTTTATAAGTTCTTTCACTTTCTGTACCTTACGCTCAACCCCAACCCCAACCTCAAAATTACACCAAGACATCATTGGCTAGAAGGCTAACTCCCCCAGGCAGTCCAGTCATGGGAGGAACACATAACGAGCTACCTCCTTGTGCTAGGCATTTGCTCATCAGGCAGAATGGGGGGGGGGGACTATGTGAAAAGCTTCATACCTTTCTTCCAGGTAATCCTGCCCTGCAGCCCTTCCATCCTTAGGGGATGCACAACTATGTGAAATATTCCTGAAGTTCACCTTACTTATTATTCTATTATACTGATTTCTACTTGCAATTTTGGTGGAAGAATCATCTTATATCACCACTGATTTTTATCCAAGTGGATTGCATGCTAACACCATTTCAGGAAGAAATTAGGTCACTAAGGGCAGTAACATGTAGCATGTAGCGGTTAAAACAGATCCCTAGCAACTGGTAAAGTCAAAACCACCACTGCCCTCAAGTTTTATTCAGATGTCAAAATCAGGTCTATAGAACAGGGTAAGAAAAGGATCCATGGAACTGGAAAGAGCTTATTGCCAACATTGGAAAGACCAAAAGGGGGTGTTTCTTTAAGCTTAACTGGTTCTGGGGGCACCTGGGTGGCTCAGATGGTTAAGTGTCTGCATTCAGCTCAGGTCAGGATTCCAGGGTCCTGGGATCAAGCCCCACATCGGGCTCCCTGCTCAGCGAGGAGTCTGCTTCTCCCTCTCCCTCTGTCTGCTGTTCCCCACTGCTTATGCTCTCTCTCTCTCAAATGAATTAAAAAAAAAAAAAAAAAAAGCTTAACTGGTTCTGTATGACAATGTTTCACTTAACCTGTAGATACGGTTTCTCAGCTCTTCACTAGGATTAATGCTTAGTGGCACACATAAAAGAAATCACCTAATGCAACATTTCCCAAAGTCTTCTATGAATTAATTCCTCTATAATCCTAGAATGACAGAACGAAACTCTCTTAAACTTTGAAACCAAGAAAGTTAACTGACACCAGAAGATTTTACACCAGAGTAGCCTGTTTAAACCTAATACCACTCCCCTTGCAGGATGAGGCATTCATTCAACTTTGAATGTGTATTTTCACTGCCAACCTGGTTCAATTCTGTAACCATCCCCTAAATGAACTGTGGCCCTCAAAACAGTTCTAAGGAAAAAGAAAAAGCAAAGCACTTAAACAATACAGTCTCTATTGCTAAAAAACTATTTTTGGCCAAAATGCAGTCCTAAAAGTCATAGCAGCATACAATGACAGAAACCAAAGGATCGTGCTGCCCCTGGCACACTGAACAGTAGCTGATGAGACTGCTTCAGGAAAGGAGTAGGAGTCAGAAATATATATATATTTTTTATTTTTTAAAAAAGATTTTATTTATTTGTCAGAGAGAGAGAGATCACAAGTAGGCAGAGTGGCAGGCAGAGAGAGAGCAGGAAACAGGCTCTCCACTGAGCAGAGAGCCCGATGTAGGGCTCGATCCCAGGACCCTGAGATCATGACCTGAGCTAAAGGCAGAGGCTTAACCCACTGAGCCATCCAGGTGCCCCAGGAGTCAGAAATATATTAATAATGGAGCTCAGACTACATGGCCATCAAGAAAACTTAACATCCAGCATGCAGCTTGAGCTTCACTTCCACACAGTATGTGTAAGCATTTTATAATATTATAAAATTATATATTTATATTTTATATTTTATATATTTATAATATTATAAAATTATAATATAAATAATAAATAAAATAATTTTTTTTTCCACAGGCCTCACATGAAGGCTCATATTTTGTTAAGTCATGATTTTGCAGACCTGGAATAGCAAGACCACTTAGCTTCATAATCTCCCATCTTGGAAAATTTAGACACAATCTTTGGTAGTGGAATTATCTCCACATATTTCTTGAACCTAAAAACAGACACACCAGTTTCTCCCAAGAACATAATCACCTTGAGTATTAATCCAAAATAACTTCTAGTTATAATAAATCTATGTATTTTCTTCTTACTTGGGATTTCCTCTAATCAATTATTTCTGAAGAAAACAAGGTAATTACATGGATCACTGTGCCATTAAGTACAATATCTTACACTAAACTATTCAGATTTTTAAAATCTAAATAGGGTTAGGAGCAAACAACCCTAACATGAATCTATCTCAAAAGCATAACACTTTCAGACTGTAAATCGTACAAGGGTTATGATCTTTTATTTATTCTTTTTTTTTTAAATTTTTATTTATTTGACAGAGATCACAAGTAGGCAGAAAGGCAGGCAGAGAGAGAGAGGAGAAAGCAGGCTCCCCACTGAGCAGAGAGTCCGATGCGGGGCTTGATCCCAGGACCCTGGGATCATGACCTGAGCCGAAGGCAGAGGCTTTAACCCACTGAGCCACCCAGGCGCCCCTATTTATTCTTTTAAAAAGATTTTATTTATTCATTTGAGACAGAGAGAGAGTATGACAGGGAGAGGGACAAGAGGAAGGAGAAGCAGACCTCCTGCTGAGTGGGAAGCCCAACTCAGGGCTGGATCCCAGGACCCCAGAATAGGATCTTTTTAAAAAGGCAGTATCTTTTCTTTTCTTTTCTTTTCACTTCAGAGTAAGCTGGGTGGTGAAGATGAGGTAGGATGCCACAGAATTTGGTAAATTAACCAATCTACCCTTAATCTATACGGCATAATTAGATTTAGAAAGTAATTATATCTTTTTCCAGAATTTTTGCTAACAGTGTTTCAGTTTTATCTTTACCAATCTGGTAAGTGAAATGTGATAGCTCATTTTAATGTGATAAATTAACAAGTCATTTCCATTATTTTTTTCATCAAAAATTTTACCTTTGTGATCCTTAAAATTTTACCTTTGGGTGGGTGGGGAAAAACAACCATGCTGGGCAGGTATTAGGTAATAGTGATTTATTCATATCAAGTTTGTCAGGCTTGACTAGAATCACTGGGTGTTTCCCAGGACTGCTCTCATCTCCCTGGAAGTCTGAGAGAATGAGGTATGATTACAAGACCACCCACTAGACTGAAGCAAAGCAGGTTCTGGCTTCGGCTTCGTTATTAACTAGCTCTGTCACCAAAACATTCTTTAAGCTTCAGTATTTTCATCCATAAAAATAGAGGAGGATGTCTGCCATTACCAAGTCAGACAAACCTTTCTCAAACAGGATAAAGGGCAAAGCTCTCAGAACTCATGAGGCACCATACAAAAGACAAGAGATAAGCTTGGGAGACATGTGTCAATCTCCCACATACAGCAGCTCAGTATTTCTTTAGCTCTCTAAGCCTGTCATCACGCTCATCCTCTACTTTTGAATATACTTACGTTCTGACTATTGTCCAGTTCCACCTTCCTCATTTTGATTCAGTGAGACTATACCCTGTACTGTTGTTGGAATTCTACAAATTATTTTTGGCCTCAGTTGCCTAACTTTTCATTTGCACCTGACCTTCTGTGTCTTTCCGTTCTCCCACCCCCCAACTCAACCCAGGAAAACACCGTATCTTCCTCTTCTATTGCCAAGGTGTCTTTTCCTTAGCTATTTTACTCCTGCAGAATTTTAAAAAACAAATAATCATCCTGCACTCAGGCAGTACAGATTTATTGCTGTTGACAGAAAATACTAAGAAGATAAAAATCACCCATAATTCCTCTTCCAGACTTTCCTAAGCATAAATACATAGATATATATTTTTTTATTTTTACAATTTGAAATTCTGCTGTTAATATTATGCTATATTTCTCAACATACCATGATTTTGCCTGTGGGTCAACAATTACACTCATATCATTTTCAATGGTACATAATATTCTATTACGTTATACCAAATTTCATGTTTTATTGCCTTTTTAACATTCAATCTTTATCCCATAGAGAATTTGTTTTGTATACAGCATGAGGTATGGATGTACCAAAATTCAAATGGTTAACCAATTAACTGCCTTAATATATTCTGAAGAGTTCATTTTTTTCCCATACTGATTTGAGATGTCACCTTTATCAAATACTAACAGATAATAGATGCTTGATCTGGTTTTTACACTGTTCCACCAATTCATCTATTTCTGTGCCAATGTCATGTACAATTTCAACTGAACAATCTGACCATCATTTTTCTATGTCCCTTAGCTAGAAGTTCTAAAATGGTATTTTTAAGTTGTTAATAGGAAAATTTTTTCTTCTAATTTTTAACATCGTGTCTTAAATTATTTATATTTTTTCTGCCTTGAGTAAAATATTTCGTTTAAAATCACTGTGATAAGAGTCATTGAATATTACATTTAATGGATAGCGGTTACACACACATTCCTTTTACCAGGTTTGTTATCCAGAATGTAGCCTTGTTTTTAAAGATTTTATTTTTTAAGCAATCTCTACACCCAACATGGGGCTTGAACTCACAACCCTGAGATCAAGAGTCACA